GTGTTTATCTGTGCAGCAATATAATCAATAAGTATTATAATAATATATTATTTCTGAGCTTTTTCAATTGATAGCCGTTCCTTCTGGTGATTACCTTTTTTATCACTACTCATCAGTCTATAGAGGGAGCCACTGTAGCCTGCTGATAGTTTACTGCACCCCGGTGAGAGACAAACCCGGAGCTCAACCTGCCCGGTACACCGCCCCCAGCATGTCATACTGTACGAGCCGCATGTTCATTACAAGTGCTGCCTGCACTCAGACAAGCATTTAACATCCACCGCACCGTTTGCAGAATAAAGACCAGCCTGCTACTGCGCACACGCTCGGGATTTTGCAACAAAACACGAACCGGGGGAGTTTCATTCTGCACGCCAGGAGTGTTGGAGATCCGCAGGTTAATTGCAGGTACGTCCCCAAGGCGCCACAGGATGACAAAGCTATAGCACACAGCGCTCTGATCAGATAACAATAAAAGCAACACACCGAGGAGCTGTTCAAGGAGTCTGCAAAAAATAAAATAAATCTGCCGTAGCACTTGTTTCAGATGTAGGTCGCTTGTTTCAGGGAAATGCCCGGTAACAAGTGCCAGTATCTTTAAAGAAGACAAGAAAACGCAGAAACTATTTGATTGGTTAAGTTGGACATGTTTTTGCGCAAATGCAGAATTTTAATCAACAGGATCCCTGCACGGCTGATTAACAAGTCCATTTTCCTGACACTTGACTGACACACAAGGGCATGTTTACGCACGATCTTTACGCGTATTACGCACTAATCCTTTTGGAGAAAAACAGCAGAAAAACACTTCACTTAGTTGAAGTCGCAGATTTAGCTGGAGTGGTGCCAACATAAACATCACGCCAGCAGCGGGAGATGTTGGGACTCGTTAAGCAATGCCATCAATGATGTAATAACTGGTATTAAAACATGTAGGGCTTGTCAAGCGAAAAATGATCTTGCACGCTCTATCCATTTGGTTGCACTGCATCTCGTTACAGTGAGCTGCTCCGACGTTTGGTCGATATGCTGGGGATCTGCGTGTGTCTCTGTGCGGTTTTCACACATGTCCTCTCTCAGGAGGTTGAGGAGCCCGTCTTCTACACAGTAAGTGAGAGATTTTTTTTTTTAACCAGATAATTGTTTTGTCCGTGGGTGTAACACAAGCTGGTGTGTTTGAGGTGCTGTGTATACCTTCATTTGGAGACGAAAAACGCCACGATTTTGTTTATTGTAAAATGTTAAATGAAATGGCACTAAGATATGTATAATTTCATGGTAATCATTATTTGTCCTTTACAGTGCACAGAGGGGTATGAGTTTGACACAGTCAGAGAGCAATGCAGAGGTGAGAAATTACAAATTGCTTGGTTGTTAAATATTTCTGAAGTTATTCATGCTTAATGAGTTTAAATCTGTTTTTATCTAAGCTCCTTTTAACCAATTAAAATGACCCAGTACCGAATATGTCATATCTACTGTCTTTCATTATTTCTGTCTCTTTTTCTATCACACTGTTTACCCTGTGTCAGACATCGACGAATGTGCCTTGTTAAACGATGCCTGCAAAGGAGGGATGCAGTGTATCAACCACTTTGGTGGATACCTCTGCCTCCCCAAGAGCGCTGTCATCTATATCAGTAAGGAGGGCGAGCAGGTACCAGTGCCGGACCCTGTCGCTCCAGTCCCTGCTGTCCCACCAAGCCAGCCTGAGGTCCCACGGCTGTTTTCAAACAGCCAGAGGTTCTCTCAGTCCAGCCTGACCACCCGCTGTGCAACTGGATTCACTGCAGATGAGCAGAACCTCTGCAGAGGTAAGATCAGCCTCACCCCCACCCCAAAGTACCTTGAA